TCCTTCCATTGTGTAGACCAACTATTCCATGTGAGGCAACTAGTCATCCCTCTGTACTGCAATCCCACGGTGGATACCTTCATCCGTAGATACTCCACATAAGAGGAAGGACGTATGTATGGATGCCCAATACATAACGATTTCAAATTTTGGGGTAGAAATATATTTTGCTCAAAGGTATATTATATTTTTAAGTAGCCACTAATCAATGAGAATTAAACCCATGCCATTTTATCTGATACCACATGTAGCGCACTTTATTTCTCTCCCTTTAAACCAATTGGTAAAAAGGGCAATTGCTTGATGAAAGAGCCCTTAGTAGCTATTTTATCCCCATTTATCCCCCAAGGTTTCAAAGATCCACAGTGACAATATATCCAAATCTCATCTTATGATCACATGTGCTACAGAAATAAAATGCGCTATAGGGAATTAGAGCTGGCTCTTGAATACTTCACCAAATTACCCTATTTATCAGTCCGTATTCACTCTAGTCTTAGACTTCTCAGTGCATATATCATCACTCAACACATAAGTATAACCTTCCTAGGTTACACTAGCCTTTCCTGGCCAAACTAGTTCCATTGGAGTCTAACCTTCATACTCTCCCTACTATACTTTTGGAACCCTTTGCAGCCCTGCCCCCTTTGGGGACGATCACTTTGGGCTTTCACCTAACAGCTTGTATTAGTATTTGGACTTAGATTTGGACTTGGACTCGGACTCAGACTCGGTCTCAGACTTGAACTCAGTCTCGTTCTTGGTCTCGGTCTCAGTCTTAGTCTTGGTTCCATCTCAAAATCCATCTTGGGTCTATTTTGGACTCTATCTCAGATCCATCTCAGACTTCATCTTGAACTCCATCTCAGGTCCACTCGGACTCCATCTCAAGTCCATATCAAATTCCATCTTGGACTCCATCTTGGGCTCATTTCGGACTCCATCTCGGACTCCATCTCAAGTCCATCTTAGACTCCATTTTAGACTCCATCTCTGATCCATCTCGGACTCTATTTTGGACTCCACCTTAAATTCTATCTCGGGTTTATCTCGGATTCCTTCTCAAATTCCATCTCGGGTCCATCTCAACACCCCACGTGTTATGTGTTGGTCCTCTTGTGTTCTTTTTCTAAAGACTCACTTATTGCTCTCTTCATGCTCGTTCCTTCAGAATTTTGTTGAGAGTTCCACTCTCGCTCTTGACTTTTCAAGTTAGAGCTTTTAATCCAAATGTGTTACGTTTATTTAGCTTCTGCTTCGGCCACTACCACATGGCACCCTTTTGGCTCCACTTTTGAGGCTCTAGGATTTGTGTCTCACATAGGATTGTCTCATCCTGTGCATATATGTATATATGGCAATGTATGACTATTGCCATAAAGAATGAAAATTGGTTCTGTCGCACAACATAAATGTAAATGACAACTTATGGCAACATGCTAAGCAAAAAATGATAAACTTGAGCTAATAATAAAAGACTTCTTGTTATAAGAATGAACTTGAAAAGTAAATACTAGATGAATTAATATTAAGTGAACCCCTTGATAATGCTCCCGAAAGAAAAGTGAAAGGGTTATTGACTTATTCATATAAGATCCTTTTGCTACTTGCATGACTCCTTGTTTCCCAAAAGCATCTTGGTATCCAAATCTTCCCTTACAATAGCACCAATAGGACGTTGTTAATGCCAAAGTCTCCAATAGAGGTCACCAATGGAGGTCACCAATCCGGAAAATGCCGATAATGTTGATAAGTGTGACTAACTTCATTATATGCCTAATAGCAGATATCACAACCACAATTATATGCTCGCCCTTATCCTTAAACTCGGCCAGCAGTAGTATCAATCTCCATTGAAATAGGACCATCTCCCACAAAGAGTGGAGTTAAAGGATATGTAGCAAAAAGTGGAATAAATAATATCTCATAATATTGTGTTAAGTGAAGAGTATCATCAAGGGTGGTTAGAGTAAGTGCATGCATAATTTCTACAAGATCTTGACAAAGTGCTAACCATAACATTCCCAACTTGATTCACTCTTACATATTTGGCTCCACACAAAGCTAGAGGCTTTGAAAACTAACGCCAAATTGCATTAAGAACTCAAATGCCCTTTGACAAAAATGATGCAATTGTTAAAAGACATTATCAATGTGTCTAAATGAATGTTTGAAAATGTCCAGGAGAATGCTCCAATCCTCGCGAGTGGCTATGCTCAAATCATTGTACTATTGCAATGCCATTTTTTGGAAATACATGGGAAATTTATGCAAATGTCGAACATCATCCTAAGAATGATATATGGCAATCATCGTGAAGTGATTAAACCAATAGTACACATTATTCATAATATTCCTACGAAAGAACTCTGACCAAATGTGAGGATTGGTAACAAGAGCAGAAGGAGTTATCCCACACGCCATGAATACTACTATTAACTGAATTTAATTGTTCAATTGCAACTATATAGCATTAAGCAATTGCATTAACTACTACTCTAGAGTTAAAGGAAAAGAAGGTTGCTACTCTACCATGAAGATGAATAAAAAGGAAAAAACAAAAGAAAAGTTGAGAAAAGTTATAAGAAAATAGAGATTTAAATAATGCAAAAGTTATATCTAAACCAAAATCCTAAATAGAGACCAAAAATACCCTTCACCTTCATCAATGTTAAATGTATGAAATATGAAAAGAGAACAGCTTGAAAACCTTAGTTTATATAGAAGAGCCAGAAAGAAATCAATCTATGGCTACTAGAATCCCACGATGTTAATATTAGTATATGGCATTGTAATTCACACATTAATAAAAATCTAATTTCCAGATTTTTACTGTAGTTTGTTATTATCTTGCCACCTAGTTCCACCAATAATGTATTTTGAACACCCACCTATACTCTAGAGCATGTTACTCAATTGGTGGGATCAAGATAAAGAGAAAAAGACACTTAAAGGTCCTTCTGTCAGTGTGTAAACAGATCAAGGCTAGTAAATTCCACAGCTGCAAAGCCAGCAGCCCCAAACTTTGTGAAAGAAAAAGACCTTGCAAGTACCCATATTGTGCACTTGGATATCAGAAATATGGGACCGAGAATCCATGAACAGTGAAGATACCACCACCGACACCCCGCGCAAGGGAATATTCCTCCGCCGGTCTGTTGGATATTCCACCGCGCTCTTTGCCCTCCTCAATTCGCGTTATTTCGTGGCGCCTGCCCCTCGCCGGTGGAATCGCTCGATCCATCGATCCAGCTGCCGCGGCCGCCAACGATCGATCGCGCGCATCGCCATGGCGAGGTCGGTCTATTCTTCTCTCTAGATCTCCCGCGCCAGCTCCAGGGATTCCTGTGAGCTCCCGCGGGGATTTGCCAGGAATGCTGTGGCCCGGATGCTAGGGTTTGATCCATTTTGCCGGCAGGTGTGGCGAGCTGTGGTAGAGAAGGGAGCGATCGATGCTACAATGTCAACCCTAACTTTTTAGCGACGAGCGACGAGGGTGCTGTGTGTGTTCTTCGCGGGGGAATGGCAGCAAATGGCTACTGGGGGGCAATCACTTCCAGCACAGAGTGGTGCGAGAGGAATTACGAGCGCTCTCGCTACATTGCCGAGTTCTTCAACACGCTGTCCAATGTGCCGTGCATCCTCCTCGCCTTCATTGGCCTCTACAACTCAATCTCCCAGCGATTTGAGAAGCGATTCAGCGTCCTCCACCTCGCCACAATTGCGCTGTGCATCGGGAGCATGCTCTTCCACGCGACCCTCCAGCACGCGTAAGTTTAGTCCCTTCTTCTCCCTTTTTTTCTTTCTTTCAAGTTCTAAGTCTAAGTTACAGTTTTCTCGATCCGTGTTCGTTTTTTCAAGTTCTCAGCTCTCAAGTCTTTCTAAGTTTCCAGTTTTCTCGATCCATTTTCTTTCTTCGAAGTTCTTAGCTCTCAAGTCTTTCCAAGCTTGAGAGATCCTTTTTCTTTCTTTCTACTTTCCAGTTTTCTCAAGTAGATTCAATCGTTCTCTTATCAGTTCTTCCTAAGCCAAGTTCTACTCCTACGATCTCTAGGACTTTTTGGTTTTCAGATCTATATGTTCTAAGTTCCAAAACTTTTTTTCTTCCAGGCAACAGCAGAGCGACGAGACTCCAATGGTCTGGGTGATGCTCCTCTACATCTACGTGCTCTACTCCCCGGACTGGCACTACCGCAGCACAATGCCGACGTTTCTCTTCATCTACGGTACCGTGTTTGCGATTCTCCACTCACAGTTTCGATTCGTCCTTGGTTTCGAGCTCCACTATCTGTTCCTGACGCTGCTGTGCCTCCCTCGGATGTACAAGTACTACATCCACTCCAAAGGCACTCCCGCTCGGCGCCTGGCTCGCTGGTGCATCATCACGACGCTGGTGGCAGCGTTTTGCTGGGTGATCGATCGAAACTTTTGCGGCAAAGTCAGTGCTCTCCCGGTGAATCCCCAGGGCCACGCTCTCTGGCACGTCTTGATGGGATTCACGTCCTACTTCGCCAACATGTTCTTACAGTTTTGTAGAGCTCAGCAATTGGATTGGTCTCCGGAGCTGCGGTATTTTTTCGGGCTTCTTCCTTACATCAAGGTGATCAAGCCCAGCATCGACGAGAAGGAAGAGTGAATTTACAAGAGAAAGAACACGCACTTGGTGGTGGTGGTGGTGGTGGCGAGAAGGAAAGTTTTAAGATTACACTACACACACTCGAGGTTCTTTCGTTTCGATCTTTATTTTTCTCTCTTCTTGGATGATCTTGGATATGACTCTCTCGTTCTCTCTCTCTTTCTCTTTCTCTTGTTTAATTTTCGATTGTCTCGAAGATCGGATTGTGTTCTTCGTTGTTCGAGCTTTGGTTGGTGTATAGTAAAGAAAGGATATTCAAATTTTTGTCTTTCCGGAATGTAAGATCTAGATCTGGATCGTTGGTTTTGTTGACGGCTGCGATGGGGATGACCGTTGGGCCACAAAAGCTAACCCTCGCCAAAGGAGAGGAGAAGAAGGATCGGTTCGTCTGAATCGAAGGCGCTGAGCTAGGGTTCCAGGCGATGGATTGTCAGCCGCGGCGGATCGCCATCGCGGACTCATAAAAACAGGCGCCTAGCAGCGCGCAAGAATAGGCGATCCAGGTATTTCCCAGATCAGTTCGTCATAAATCTATTCGTCCCGGCGTTGCGGCGATGCTCGTCTTCCTGGGCTTGGGGCGAGCCACCAACAGGCAGAGAATCTCAAGTGGCTCCTCCGGCTTGTCAACATGAAGGGTTTGTTCCAAGAGGGACTAGTCAGTGAATCGGATGTCACGTCCTTGCGCCAGAAGATACTGGACAACATCGATGTTTGCTACGATGGAGGCGAGTACCCCCAAGTGACGAGAGACAAGCTTCTGTTCCTCCAGGTACTTTTCATTGTTCTTAAGTTCTAGAGAGCGTGATTTTCTTGATGAACGCTGGGCTAACATAGTTTTCTTCTACGTCTAGGAGCTTCTGTGCGCGCGATGCATCTCGGAAGAAGAGTATCCCGCGGTGAAGAAGTCGCTTCTTTACAGGCTAGCAGCTCAAGGGGCGGAGATCAATGCCAGTGACATTGTCTTGTCGTGCCCGGCAGCCACAGCCAGTGCTCCAACTTCACCTGTGAGAGCAAGGATGAAGAATGCAGAGTCAACAGGAGATGATCCTCGGGAGAAGCTAAAGGACGAGGCAATGCAAAGAGTAGCGAAGAGCAAGTCCCCGGTGCAGCACTTGTTCGAAGCTGCAAGCAGAGTGGGAAGAATAACGAGAGAAGAGTTCCTCACGGACTGGACTCGACTTTATCAGTGCCAGAGACTAGAGTCTGACACCTCGGATCAATGCGGGTCGCCCCTCTTCTACTCTCCAAGCGGTTCCGTGTCCACGATGGAAAGCTCTTCCAACGGTTTCTTCTCTACGGTTGGAAGCTCTCCAAAGGCTCCTCCATCCGCCGAAGCATGCTCAGACGATGATGGAAAGTCCTTCCAAGGCTCCCGCGTCTGCCGAAGCATGCTCAAAGAAGAACTCTGCATCAGTCGAAGCGTGCTCTAAGATGTCCAAGATAGAAATCCTGCAAAGGCTCCTCCATCAGCTGAAGCGTGCTCTAAGGACGGCTTTGTGTCTACGTTGAAAAGTCCTTACAAGGCTGCAACACCCGTCGAAGCTAGCTCTACAAAGAAGTTCCAAGCCAAGGGGGGAGCTTCTACTGACTTTTATATTGACAAGGTACATATCTCTCTTCTCGTTTGAGTGTGCATTAACTCTCGAAGTCTGTCCAGGTTCTTGGCGAAAACATTAAGGAGCTTGAGCGAGATCAACAGGCAGACAGTTCTATGATCATGACACTGACTCATTGCAAATGGGTGGCAGGAACGATCGAATAGATGCAATTGCACCATGGCTCTAAGTCCGAGCTGATGCGCTTCTTTCCAAAGTAAGTTCCTTGACATTCACATTAGATCTCTTTCGCTAACTTTCATCCTGGTGCGAAATTCAAGGGCCATGTTAAAGACATGGAAGCGGCAAGCAAGAATGCGAAGCAGAAAGCGGCGATCTGGGAACAGTCGCGAGAACGACGCCACAACAATGCCATCACATCTAAGCAAATGAGCAGCAAATCCAGCGTGAACACCCGGTGCTTCACAAGCACGGACGAGAGCTCACCCCGGCCAAACAAAGTCACAATGCGAGCGTGGAGCAATCCGAGAGGGAGCTGGACGGGAAGCTATGCGCGGAGATTGAGAAGCTACCACACAGAAAAACTCTAGAATTTCAAGCAGTCTTAAAACGGGCGAGGCATGATCATCTCGCCAACCTTGAGCTATAGCCTTTAGTGTTTTTGCGATGCAATCATCGCCGGGAGATCCAGCCACTTCCGCGGCTAATCCATGGGCTCCTCGCGAGCAAGTGGACTTGGGCTTTGATTGACCAGCTCTACTCAGGACGAACTCCACTCAGACATTCACGTAAGAACTGTCATTTCTATGATCATGACGCTTACTCAATTCGTGGTGGTGCTGGTGGTGGCGAGAAGGAAAGTTTTAAGATTACACTACACACTCTGGAGGTTCTTTCGTCTCGATCTTTATTTTTCTCTCTAGCTATCTTTTGGATGACTCTCTCGTTCTATCTCTCTTTCTCTTTCTCTTTAATTTTCGATTGTCTCGAAGATCACGGGATTGTGTTCTTCGTTGTTCGAGTTTTGGTTGGTGTATAGTAAAGAAAGAATATTCAGATTTTTGTCTTTAAGTAGTGTTTTTCCGCGCTAGCGGACAAGCTCTGATTCCGGAATCTAAGATCTAGATCTGGGCCGTTGGTTTGTTGACGGCTGCGATGGGGATGACCGTTGGGCCGCAAAGCTCATATTTTGGAAACCCTCGCGAATAGAGAGGAGAAGAAGGATCGATTCGTATGAATCGAAGGCGCTGAGCTGGGGTTCCAGGCGATCGATCGTCAGCCGCGGCGCATCGGCATCACTCGCAAAATCTTTGTCTCCGAGCAGCGCGCAACAATGTCGGTAAGAGGAGGCGGCGGCAATTCATTCAAGGCGATCCAGGTATTCCCTTCGCTCTAGCCGGGATCCATCCGCTCAGTGTTTTGGATTTCTAGGACAGCGCCATGGAAATGTATCGGAACTTCGTCCCGGCGTTGCGGCGATGCTCGTCGTCCAGGCACAATGCCGCGGGATGGACGCCTGGCCTTGCCGAGAGGAGGGCGAGCCACCAACAGGCAGAGAATCTCAAGTGGCAGCAGGATATGTTCCTCCGGCTTGTCAACATGAAGGGTTTGTTCCAAGAGGGACTGGTCAGTGAATCGGATGTCGCGTCCTTTCGCCAGAAGATACTGGACAACATCGATGTTTGCTACGATGGAGGCGAGTACCCCCAGGTCACGAGAGACAAGCTTCTGTTCCTCCAGGTACTTTTCATTGTTCTGAAGTTCTTAAGAGTGCGTGATCGTATAGTTTTTTTCTTGATGGAGTTCTTTGATGATCTTACTTACGTGATGTCTTTCCACTTGTAGGAGCTTCTGTACGCTCGATGCATCTCGGAGGAAGAGTATCACGCGGTGAAGAAGTCGCTTCTTTACAGGCTAGCAGCCCAGGGGGCGGAGATCAATGCTAGTGACATTGTCCTGTCGTGCTCGGCAGCCACCGCCAGTGCTCCAACTTCACCTGTGAGATCAAGGATGAAGAACGCAGAGTCAACAGGAGATGACCCTCGGGAGAAGCTAAAGGACGAGGCAATGCAAAGAGTAGCGAAGAGCAAGTCACCGGTGAAGCACCTGTTTGAAGCTATGACTCGTCGCAAGCACAGTGGGAAGAATAACGAGAGAAGAGTTCCTCACGCACTGGACTTTATCAGGCCCAGAGACTGTCCGGCCAGAGATCCTCCAGAGTTTGATACCTCGGATCAATGCGGGTCGCCCCTCTTCCACTCTCCAAGCGGTTCCGTGTCCACGATGGAAAGCTCTTCCAAGGCCGTCGAAGTATGCTCTAAGAAGAACGGTTTCTTCTCTACGGTTGGAAACTCTCCCAAGGCTCCTGCTTCTGCCGAGGCATGCTCTAAGAAGAACGGGTTATTTTCGACGGTTGAAAGCTCTCCCAAGGCTCCCGCTTCAGTCGAGGCATGCTCTAAGAAGAACGGGTTCTTTTCTACGATTGAAAGCTCTCCCAAGGCAGCCGAGGCATGCACTCAGAAGAACGGGTTCTTTTCAACGATGGAAAGCTCTCCTAAGGCTCCTGCATCTGCCGAAGCATGCTCAAAGAACGGGTTTGTGTCTACGACGATGGAAAGTCCTTCCAAGGCTCCCGCGTCTGCCGAAGCATCCTCAAAGAAGAACGGTTTCTTTTCTGCGATGGAAAGCTCTCCCAAGCCTCCAGTCGAAGCATGCTCTAAGATGTCCAAGATAGAAAGTCCTGCAAAGGCTCCTGCATCCACTGAAGCGTGCTCTAAGAAGAACGGCTTCGCGTCTACATTGGAATGTCCTTACAAGGCTGCAACACCCGTCGAAGCTAGCTCTAAAAAGAAGTTCCAAGCCAAGGGAGCCTCTACCGACTTTTATATTGACAAGGTACGTAGCTCCCTTCTTGTTTGAATGCCATTAACTCTCGAAGTTGGTCCAGGTTCTTGGGGAAAACATAAAAAAGGAGCTTGAGCATATAAGGAGTGAGATCAACAGGACGAGCTCTACTCAGACATTCACGTAAGAACTCTTACTTCTAGTTAGCACTAATGATCATGACGCTAACTCGTTGCAACTGGCTGACAGGAACGATCAAATAGATGCAATTGCAACACGGCTTCCGGCCGATAAGTCCGAGCTGATGCGCTTCTTTCCAAAGTAAGTTCCTCCACTTTAGAATCTCCTGGCTTGCTTTAACATTCAACGCGAAAACTTTATCAGGTCTTGGTGCGATAGATACGGAGACGTCGTTCTGGACGTGGTGCACAAGGAATTCAAGGGCCATGTCAAAGACATGGAAGCGGCAAGGAAGAATGCGAAGGAGAAGCGGCGAGCTGAGAATGACGAGAACAGTGGTGGCTTTTGCGAAAATGGCGCTACAACATTCCCATCAAAGCCCGCATCTAAGCAAGCGACGCCGATTAAGAGCAGCAAATCTAGCGTGAACACCCGGTGCTTCACAACCACGGACGAGAGCTCACCCCGGCGAGCGGCAGCCAAGAAAGTCACGTCGTTCAATGCGAGCGTGGAGCGATACGAGAAGGAGCTGGATGGGAAGCTGTGCGCGGAGATTGAGAAGCTACCACACAGAAAAACTCCTCTTCGAGTCTAGAATATCATATAAATAATTTAAAACTATTCGTAGAACCAACTTTAGTTTTCGCTAATAAAAAGAAGACAAATATCGTAGATTAGAAAAGAACATACTCAAAAGAAGCTGACCCCAGAGCAAGGGCAAAAAATGGCAAAGCTTGCCATCGTAAAGCTAGAGAGTGCTTGAGAAAAATTGACACAGCTTTTAGATAGAAGCTCTCCTAGATAAGTCACTGCTGTGATTTGCAGCACGATCTTCACCATCTGGCTTGAGAAGATGCCCCTCAAGTTGGATGATGAGGCTAGATCATGTGGAATATGGGTATTTCTTGGAGCTTAAGGAAGAAACATGTGAGAACAAGGAGTTAGCAAGGAAGAGTGTAGTTACATGATCTTTAAGGACATCTACAAGGGCAAGCTTGTCCAAGCTAAGCATCCTAAAGAAGTTCCACCAATGGTTCAGACAATGGTTTTGAACTTTGCAGAGAGATTGTACACTTTTTACTAACTTCTTGCTTTAGAGGCACTCATCCAAGTATATTCTAGGATAATTTTTAATCTAAATTTTATCCTCTTAAACTTTCAAGCTGTTGGAAATTTAAATTTTACTAAAAAAAACCCCTAATGAACAAGCTGAAGATATGATAGAGTTGAGCTAAATCTATTACAGCACAAGTGGCTGGATCTTTTATGCTCCCAAGAGGTCCTTATGGCCCGAGCAGAGACAATATTGGTATCCATGGCTAGCAATTGCCAACAGAGTTTTTCACCAGAAAAGAAAGGGTCTGTTTTTTTATTTAGTTTCTTAGCAAAAACTATGATAAAAAAATGGATATCGGTTTTTTTGAAATTTAGTTCACAAAATGATATAGTATTTTTTAAATAATAATTTAAACTCTGGATTGAGTCTAATCAAGCTTTAATCATCATTAATACAAATCTATTATTAATTACTTCATTATATAATTTTTATGATTTAGCATTATTACTTATTATTATAACAAAAGATTAAATATTAAAGAAGGTTTCTTTATAAAAATAGTAAGCTCCCTGACCTAGTTTATATATAATTTGGTGGTGTAAATTTCCCCTAGGATAAATAATATTCTTATAAATATTCTTCACTTAAAGTTAAAGTAGTTTATTATTATTTAATAGTATGAGGTCCAAGTATATGGCTATGATGCTGTATACTAATATTAGCATAGTGAGATTTTAGTAGCCATCGGATTGATTTCAATTCAAACCACTCGCTCCTGTATATAAGTTAGGGTTTTTGGGCTAATTGATATACATATTTTTTGTATTCTTTTTTCATATTCCATACACTCACATTGGTGGAGATGAGGGGCACTTTTCATTGTTTTTGAGGGGTGTTTGGATTTGGGATTTTGGTTTAGATTGAGCTTTTGCATCGTCTAAATCTAGTTTTTTCCATTTCCTTTCTTTAATTCTTCCTTTTAAGATTTTGGTTTAGATCTAACTTTTCCATTGTCTAGATCTCCGTTTCCTTTTAAAATTTTCTTTCTCATTTCTCTTTTTTTGCTCTTTCCTTTTCATTCAACTTCATGGTAGAGCAATAATCTCCTCCTCTGACTCTGGAGTAACAGTTGGTGCAATTGCTTGATGCTATGTGATTGCAATTAAACAACCAAACTCAGTTGATACCAACATTTACAGCACATGGGAGAACTCCTCCTGCTCTTGGTGCCAATCTTCACATTCGGCCGAAGTTCTTTCGTGGGAATCCTAGGGATGATGTGTACTATTGGTTTGATCACTTCATGGTGATTGCCATATATCATTCTTGGGATAATACTCGACATTTGCATGAGTTTCCCATATGTCTTTAAAGGACAGTGTTGCAGTGGTACAATGGTTTGAGTGCAGCCACTTAGGGGGATTGGAGTGTTCTCCCGGACATTTTTAAATGTGCATTTAGATATATCGACGATTGTAATGATGCCTTCTAATAATTGCATCATCTTTGTCAAGGGGCATTTGAGTCAGTGATACAATTTGGCATTTGTTTTCAAAGCTTCTTGCTTTGTGCGGAGCCAAATATGTCAGAGCAGATCAAACTAGGAATGTTGTAGCCAGTTTTCATTCTTTATGGCAACGGCTGTACACATGCATGTGCACGGGATGAGGCAAACCTGGTTGTGAGTGTGGGTGATTTCGAACTTAGGTTGCAGTCATTGCGGGTAGTGCCGAGTCAAACTTTTAACTTCATCCTTAATATGGATTGGTTGTAGTGTAATCATGTTAAGTGTGACTTTGAGG